AGCAGTACCGACCGCGGACGAGATTGCGGCTGAGGCATTGCTTGCGATGCCTGCCGAGAGAGCTCCTCTATGCGTTGATTTAGCAGCGTAATTCCTGCTAAATATATTTGCATAGTAGCGTCATAGCGATTGTTCTTAAAATACGGCTGCACCATTGCCGTTTTACGAGACGATGACACTATTCGGTCATGTCCTGCATCGAATTTTGCCCAGGTCGTTCGGAGTAGTTCTCTAGTCTCCACTGCGGTGGAGAGGTCCATAGTAAGAACGTCTTTTGCATTGGCTGTCAGGCTCGCGATCGTGCCAGCTCGCGCCTCCTGCAGTGTTAGTCTCGCAGCCATGATGTGATAGGATATGATGCGCTGTTGCTGGTCGAGACGATTATACAGTTGTGGTGCTGCCCCCACTACTCCCGAGTTGAGGTGACGTACGCTTCACTCTCCGTGAGTGGGGAGATGACGAAGATTCCCGAGTGCTAGATGCCCGCGCCACCTAGATTCCTCCTAGCGAACTAGAGGCGTTAGAATTCCTTGAACTGATTTTCCTGTCGCMGCACAACGTCCTGGGTGCTCAGCAATGCGACAGGCGTTGTACACGACACTTTTCACAAACGTTAAATCTTGTTACACTCACAATTAATTCTAAGATCCGGCTCGAAGGACCAAAAAAAATGTTCGAGAATAGAAAGATTAGTAGATTTAAATAAGATGCTCTAAGAGAAGACAAGGAAATAAGCGAGATAGGCTAGTGGTCTGTATAAATGGGGAATTTACTGGTAGAATTTATGTGTAACAAGATTTAATAGATATTAGGTACAGAAAAATAGAGATAGCAAAAGTATAATAGATTTTTACAAGTAGTAATAGATAAGCTACGCCACGTGTACCGGATATCACGCCACGAGTACCGGAAGTAAATAGCACGAGAAGCCGTTAGAACAAAAAGAAGGAAAATGTGATAATGAGAAACGAAAGAATTGATTAAACGAAGAGTACAACAAAAATGAGAGGTCAGAACGAATAAAGAGAGGTTCAGATTAGAGATAAAGGTTGTGAGATTACCTGAGAAGTCGTTAATGAGAGAGAGTATAAAGAGATGGTCTAGATGAGGAAACGCGAGGTGAGAGATAAGATGGAACGGTGAGAGATAAGAATTAAAGCGAGATTAAGACTATGAGATGAATTCACAAATTTCAGAGATTTTTAAATATACGTCCGCACTGTTTAACTTCGTGAAAGATTGTGTCGGACCACGCCACTTTTCGGTTCGATTAGAGGAACAGAGCGGAAGTGGAGAAAAGACAATACACCAATTAGCGAGTTCCACGCTGGGAAGAGATGACAAACAATCAATAGGAAAGTAACACGCAGAGGATGACGACACAGGGGACCAATGACTTATTGACACGACAAGTGGCGTGATCCCTTGATCAATAGAAACAATCGATATGTCTTCTTCTCAGCGATAACAGACGACGCATTAATCATGCTAGCCAAGAGGTGCTGCTATCTAGTCTAAAGGGCGCAATTTTCGAACAAGTGCTATTTAACAGAAGCTATAAAACGATTTTTTTTAAGCTTTAAAGCGTATACTTACAAATAAAAAGTGTTCAGTCCGAAAAAATTTGGCAAGCATAATTAATATTTGGACTACTGCAGTCCCAGAAAAGAGAAAAAATCAATTTATTACAACTTTTTTTTTTGGTTACTTCACGTGTAGAATTCAAATCATTTTCGACAAAATTCGATTGTAGTCAAACTAACATCTATTCTGTTCTGTTTTAAATAGCACATTTTAATTTCGCAGTTGCGTCTTAGCATTCGAAGTGTACGGACGTTCAGAGTGTTGATCCGCGTGTTTATAACTTTATTGTTTACATTGTACGTATAACGAATAAATTCGTTACCTGGTTGTTTAATTTTCAAATTTAACAAATCGGTCACCGGCTCATG